ATAAATCTTCCCATAAAAATCACATAAATGCTCACGATCGGGATCACTACAAAGAGATGAACAGCAGGTAGGACTCACGACCAAGGCAAAACTCGAGGCACAGAAGGGGAGGAAACTCACGGCTGAGGCAAACCCAATGAACAACAAGTGAGGCTCACGGCCGGGGCAAACCCAAATCAATTCTCTACAAGTTTTGATATACATGAGAGAGTACAAAACATCACCAATCTCTCAAAGTAACAAGTTTGATCCATCTACAATCATTCAAATGATTCAAACTTAACAAGAGGGGATAAATTAAACTCAAGAAATACCAATGGGTCTCACGGGTAGGAGTAGGAACCAAAGCCAATAAAACCACCTCCAAACCATCCCTCGGGTAAGGGCCAAACAAAGCGAACCAAGCCCCCCAACTAGAGCCAAACCGAGCCCAGCAAGGCTAAAACGAGCGAACGCAGCCCCCACTTTAGAACCAAACCGATTCCAGCAGGGCTAAAACAAGCAAACACAACCCCCACTTTAGAGCCAAACCAAGTCCAGCAAAGGCCAAACACAAGAGCTGTTAAAGCTAGGAAGAGAGCTCTAACACCTCAATAAAAGTCAAGACTCAAGTCTCCACAAAAAAAAAATCAACATCCCATACTCCTGAAATGAAAACCGAGCACCAACAAAAGCCCAAAGCCGAGCCATTCAAGGCCCAAAACCGAGCTCAACGATATTAAAATCCAGGCCTCCATAAAGCATTAAAGATCTAGCCATTTCAGACCCAAAGTTGTGGCTCCAATCAAGCCAAAAGACAAAAAGAGTCGGGCGGAAGGCTGGAGCGCAGCAGGGAGTAGGTGGAAGCTTTTCCAGAGCGCGAGGGGACCTCGAGGAAGCTTCGCGAGAAGAATCGGGCTCGGCTATGACACGCAACCGAGAGGAATGGGCGAGACTCGCGAACAGGAGAGGGAGGCGAGGCGCACGAGGAGATTCAGTTTATATAAATTAATATATATATAAATTAATATAT